TCATGCATCAAAGATCCTGCAAAATCAAACGTGCCTTATATTTTGGAAAGGAGGGAGTAGTAGAGATTGACACACTATAACAGGTGTCCCATGTCACGCTGGCAATAACTTTATGGGTGATCTGATGGGCTAGGAGGAAGACGATTCATTAGGCAATTTTTTAAAGTTCCTCGACTACACATCAGCTCGTTAGCATGTTCAAAGACAAGCTTGACAGGATGTTGACGACAAGTGTGAAAGTGATCAACTCATCAATTAATGCTACAACGAGACTGAAAGCCCCTCCAACCGGGTATGCTAAAATTAACATAGACGCAACCATTGTGAGATCTCATGCAGGAGGAGCTGCAACGGGAGTTTGCAGAGATGCACATAGCAACTACCTGGGTAGCTCATCATTGGTGGTCCATGGGGTGACTGACATAGCTACAATTGAAGTTGTAGCATATCACGAGGTCTTGTCCATCACAGAGGATCTTCATCTACAGAACTTTATCATAACGTTAGAGTCAAAACAGGTAGTAAATGACATTGCTAGAGGTATCTATGGAGATATGAAGCCGCACTCAGAGATGTTCAACTGGAAATTCACTTTTGAATGACGAGTTGCCAATACTGAAGCCGATAGTTCAGCCAATTTTTCTTATTCTCTTCATCAGAGGCGACACGTTTGGTTGATCCAATGTCATGGTCATTTTGTGGCCCACTTCACAAAGATTTTGAGAAATAAAACTTGGCCTTGCCCCTAAGAAATTCTTATTCCGCTACATAACAGAAAGTCTGATGGAAGCTTTGGCATTTAAAGGTAGCATCAAAACTCCTCAAAGAAAAGTACCATCAAAATTGAAAGTGTTCTGGTGCGTATGACAAAGTGTTCTCTTTTAGCTGCTTATCTTTTTCGACAAATACTGAATTTTATTAACTTAAATAAAGCATCAGAGTAATATAAAACACAATAAGTACATACGTGGTCTCTGCATCCACACTTGTGCAACTTGTCGAAAGTTCTCGTTTCGAGGCCTTGCAACATTTCAGCATTTGCCCTTTCCACGTGCCGTTGCTCCTTGGATGAGCAACTAACACAAAACAGATTTTGCTGCCAAGGTCTTGGATGTACTGCATGAAGGCGCGGCTCGTGAACTGTGTGCCGTTATCGGTGATGACTCTATTGGGTACTCGAAAACAGCAAACAAGTCCCTTAAAGAACTTGACGGCTGACTGTGTTGTCACCTACCTCGCTGGCTCTACCTTAGGCCACTTTGTGAACTTGTCGATTGCAACATACAAGAACTCAAAGCCCCCGGTTGATGGGGTTATGTACCTAGGATAGGGTCATGGACCTGATCTAAGTACCTTACCCAAGGACACCCTTAGAAGAAGTCACCTTCCAGTCGACCAACGAGGGACACACTCGACTGACTTGAAGGACTCGACCACGAAGACTCACTCGACCACCAGAAGGTCAAGAGGCACTCTGCACTGCAACGGCCTGTAATCAAGTAGACTTTATGATAGTAAAGGCACTTTATGTGGGGCGTTACCAGTAACGCCCCAGACTTAACTCACCTTAAACCCTCTCCTACGTGGACTGGCTGGGGTCCTAGCGCACTCTATATAAGCCACCCTCCTCCACAGGCAGAAGGGTTCGGCACCTTGCAACTCATATACTCATAATCCACTCGACCGCCTCCGGGCTCCGAGACGTAGGGCTGTTACTTCCTCCGAGAAGGGCCTGAACTCGTACATCCTTTGTGCTTACAACCTCTCCATAGCTAGGACCTTGCCTCTCCATACCTACCCCCCACTCTACTGTCAGGCTTAGAACCACGACAGTTGGCGCCCACCGTGGGGCCGGTGTTTTAGCGATTTTGTGGATAAGTTGCAATTCTTCCGAGTACTTTCATCATGGTGTCTGCTGGAGTTTTGGTCGGGGGCCAAGAGATCCGTCTCGGCACTCTCACCTTCATCACCGACGACTCCGCATGGCTCCAGGAGGCTCCACTCGACGTGGATGCGCTCCCCGTCCGCGGCGCGACGCATTTTCGCGCATGTGTCCGTGGCGTTCTGCTGCGGCAACCGTCGACCCAGTATCGGCCGGCTCCTTTATCGTCCACCCTCCCGGTCTCCCGCCAGCGCAAGCGCTCAGGCCGGTCGAGGCTTCAGC